CAACTGGGAAGCATTGGTTCTTTGGTAGAATTCTCGTTTCCCATGTGAAAAATGCAGGTTTAATGCCTTGCTATCAGTGCAGCTCAAGCGAAGCCACTAATCTGTCACTGGAGACTTGCAGGCTGCTATGATGTTTCAGTGGAGCTTCCAGACTGAGACAGAGTAGGAAAAGAGTCTTAGTGATCTACTTCCAAAAATCAACCAATCAAACAAACAAGCAAAATCAATCAACAAAAACCCTACAGATCACGAGGCACCCACCACCCAGTCATGAGGACAGCATCGGCAGCATTTGTTCAGTTGTGTGTGGAGTCACTGGAGTCCGTCACTGACGCTAACAACCTGAGCCAGGCACTGTGCTAAGCTCTTCATATGTACTATATGACTCAATTCCACTACAATCTTATGCAGTCAATGCCATTCTTATCCTCATTTTACAGAGGAGGAGGAATGTGATGTTCAGAGAGGTTAAGTGACTGGTGCAGTCACTCAGCCCCAAGCAGCCACGCTCCACACCCTGGTAACCTTTGTGCTTTGCAGATAGTGAAGGTGGCAAGCCTTCAATCTGTACACAAGTCCCACATCACTCAACTTATCCCTTGACTGCCGCCCTTTCCACTGTGCTAGCTGCCTCTCAGGCTGGGGTGCTGTGGAGTGGAACTGGTTCATAGCATGGAGAGTGGTGAAGGACACTAGGGATCCAAATAAATGCACCTGTGTTCTTTGTAGCACAGAACAGATCAAAGAGCTTACAACGTGTGCTGAGAAGGGTCTTAGTTACCTAGTGCTGCTACTGTAACAAAAATACAAGTGAATGGCTAAAAAACCCAAACAAGTGGAAAATAGTGCAACAATGAATGAAAACCCAAAATCTCTGTAAATGTTCATTAAAATTAATAAAATTTAATAATAATTTAAAAAGCAAACAAAAAAAGAAATATATATAAAAAACAAACCCAAACAAGTGAATGACTTTAACAAGCGGAAATTTATTTTCTCACAGTTTCTGAGGCTAGACTCTAAATTCAGGGCATTGGCTCTTGGAAAAGACTCTCTCTCAACTCTGAGAAAATGTCTACTTTTTCACTTTCTGATCCTGAATGATCACCCTCTGGCTTGGCATCTCTCTGCCTCTCTTTCCCAATCTCTGCCCTGTTCCCTTGTTTAATCTCTTCTATAGCTGAATACATTGACCCAAAATAAACCCTACAGTAGTCTTGCATCATCATATAAAAAAGACAACTCATTCTCAAAGGATTATCCTTTTTTTAAAAAAAAATTTTATTATTTTCTCTGTGTTTGTACCGTCAAATTGGATCTGACTGGTACAGGAGGTGGTCCTTCCTTCTCCGGCAGAGCATCTGGTGGATTTGAACCACATATCTCTGCAACTGCAGTGTAGCTTCTTGCCACTAGGCCACCAGAGCTCCCCTTAAGGATTATCTTTTTGTAGAGTATAATTTCATACATAGGTGTTAGGATTTACAGCACATATTTTAAGGATACAATTTAATCTGTACTAGGAAGACTGGAAAATAATGTCAGCCCAGTTAGGTATATGCTCTTCTGAAAAGGAAACTTTGTTCTGGCCATCTTTGTCCCCAGTGTTTAGTGGAATCTCTGGCCTGGAATAGATGCTCAGTAAAAGTGTGCTATATGAATGAATAATCGACTATTTTTGCTAGGTGCTTTCAAATAGACTGTGACACATGGTGCAACACAATAAAACATGTCCTTTTCCTGCTCCATTTTCACAGTCTCCGCTGTGCTTAAATCCACTGTTGCTGATGTACCATGGAGTCAGAACCAACCCAGAGCAGACCCTCCAGCAGGCTCTCTGAGATAGTGAGTCTATAGGAGTTAATTACCCATCTCTCTCCTACTGAACTGATGGAGAATTCAAAGTGTGTGACTTTGGAGTGACAGTGCAATTCTTTACCGCTAGGCTATCAGAGCGCAAACCCACTGTTGAGAAGCAGTAAATTAAATCACGTCTTTGGGCATCATTCTTGAGGGACTGGCCCCTCTTGACAGCATGTCCAAAGTATAGGAGATGAAGTCTTGCTATTCTTGCTTCCAAGGAGAATTCAAGCTCCATTTCATCTAAGATAGATTTATTTGTTCTTTTGGCAGTTCACTGCTTCTTCACTATTCCTCTTCCTTCATCAATACTGCAATCCAATGGCATCAATTCTTTGGCCTTACTTATTCATGGTCCAACTTTCACATGCATATTAGGTGAATGAAAATATGATGGCTAGTTCTTAATGTAACATCTCTGGTTTTCAGCACTTTAAGGAGGGCTTGCAGTAGATATAAGAGGTGAATTAATATTTTGACTGACAGAAGGAAGATTGATGCTTGTGAGCTGTGGTGCTGGAGAAGAGTCTTGAGTATACCATGGACCACCAAGAAAACAAATAGGTCTGTCTCGGAGAGGGTGAAACCAAGTTTCTCCTTGGAGGCTTGGATTTTGAAGCTCTGTCTCATATACCTTGGGCAC